CGCCTATATAGTAAATCACAAGTTCTGAGCCAAAAGTGCCTACCTTGGGTTTTACCTGACTTAACCTCAAAGAAAACCTCACCTTCGGCGCGAAGGCGGGTTGTAACATTAAGCTTTCTTGTTCAATTTCGCGGGCTTAGCCCGCGAAATAAGTTCGATTTCGGCGCACTGAACAAGATGAAACTAAGAAAATTTATTGAATTTAAAATATTCAATTAAATTAAATAAACTCACAGTTTATAATAAGCAATATAATTAGAATCTTGACAAAGTTTATTAAGACCGTTCTAAAAAGTCTGAGTAAACAGTTTAAAAAGCAGACTATACAGACTTTAAATCATAATAAAAATAAATATTGAAATTATGTGTAGCAAAAAATAAACGAATTGAGAAATAAACTATGTGACATTTTTCTGGTAGACAAATCTTAATAAAAAAACACAAAAACTATGACATACCAGTGAGTGAGGGAGTGACAGTGGTGCTAGCAGAGGTGGCTGCTGAGCTGCCAGACCCTAGAAATCCGGTCAAGTTCAGAGGCGCAGAAGCAGTAGAGCTGCTACTGACTGCACGAATGTTGAAGTTAAGATTCACTATATAACAAAAGAGCAATGACACAAAAAAATAACTTTTCATATATTGTTCAGATCTCAGGGTAAGGTTTAAGCAATGAGTATTAAGTTTTAAAGGCTATCAGAACTCGCCAGTAGCTGCGGACGATGTAAGGGCTGCTCCTAGAAGTAGTCCAGAAGAAGGTGCTGATGAAGCAGGGGCTCCCAAACCTCCAGAGAAGCTGAAGGTTCCTGTACTAGTAGTAGCCTGTGTTGAAGCAGCAGTAGAAGAAGTACCACTAAGCAATGGATTAGCGGATGAAGTTGACAGTCCCCCACCAAAGTTGAAACCTCCTAAACTAGGCTGTTTGGGCACGGTGGTTGCTCCAGAAGAAGCCATAGTACTTGCACCAGAAGAGGTTCCACTTCCACTGAGTAAGCCACTAAGAGTTGAAGTGCCGGAGTTAGTAGCCTGACTCTGTGGTGTCATTAACAAACCAGAACCAGCAGAATTTGAGGGAGGATTGAAAGAAAATGAGGATGTGGATTGGGGCACACTTGCTGCGTTGAAGGCAGTGCTTGGGTTAGAAGTAGCTGTATTGAATCCAAAAGACAAGCCAGCAGTTCCAAGAGCTGAGGAGCTGGTGGCTGCAGGAGCTCCAAAGCTAAGAGAACTAGAAGTGGTGGGAGCAGCAAATGAGAATCCTCCTGCAAAATGCAAATCATTAGTAATATATCATTCAGGAATAAAATAATGCACATATGTCCTCCGAATTCAGGGCAGAAAATGTTGTAAAATAATATAGCAAAAATTGCAAGTATCCATCCAAAATCATAACATCACAGCATAAAAGATGTGAATGGAAATAAATTGGTCAAAAAATTTTCAAGAAAAATTACAGGCAGTCAAAAAAAAGAATTGATCAAAATAGCACTCCAGAAAATAGATGGTACACATTATAAGAAAATTTCTTAGTAAAACTGCTTTTTAATTAAAAAAAAAAAAGATGCTCATCTTAAATTTTTTTAACAAATCAAGACCTTTGTTTACATTTTGACACTTCTCATCATAACAAAACACATCCAAGTTTAGGGATTATAAACAGTAAAGCAGAATATTTTTTAAGCAGTCCTGCATATTATAATGCAGTCGTGCATATAGTTTAGAAAAAAATTTGGATGACAATTGATTCAGAGTGATGGTAGGAACAAAATATTTAGATATAAAGATCTTAAAAATAATGCTAGAATAAGGCTAAATGCAAGTCAAATCTGGTACTGCTAACAACCAATGACAACTTACCAGTTCCAGTTCCAAAATTAGCCATGGTGATAATATGAATATTTTTATTAAGTTTTTAAATATAATTTATGCAAAATTGGTTTTCTATAGTAGCTATCACTCTGAAATTAAAAAGGCCATAAATGAATAAAAAGGAGGAGACATTTGTTTTTCAAAGAGATGTGTACAGTCTATATCTTGGCTTACACAAATAATACAAATATTTACATGAAGGCAAGCCAAGGCTCAAGATGAGAGAGAAATTGATACCTGGAATACCAAAGCTTGCACCAGCATCAAAATGGTATGACCCAGTGCTACAAGACTGGTACCGTAATAGCCAAAACTCTTATGGATGAGACCTCCGCTATTGATTAATGAACCACTGGATTGGTAATGGTTTTGAAATTATTTTTTGATTAATTTTTACTTTTATACTTAGATATTTATCCACAATCATGTCAGCACTTACTTTGTCATTAAAAATTTTAAATTTACCATGTTGCATTTTGTAAACCATTCAGTATGCTTGACAATGAAAGTTTATTTTAAATTTTATTATGTTTATATATAATACATTCCTTGTATAGGTACAGTACCCTTTACTAAAACATTCAAATCTTAGAAAAATTTCAATATACCAAATTGAGATATCTGATGATTGAGATGAGGCATCTTTATTTATAATCCTGTCAACAAATGTTGAAGGCTCAGGCAGTGCTGGGTATGAGTCCTCAATAATACTGGTAACATTGTGAGTCTAATAACCCACCTTGCCACAGCTTTTTTTTAAAGGAAGTGAGTCAGCATACAGGAACTATGCAAAACCATGCCAGAAACTTTCAGAAAAAAATATAACTCAATACTCAGTGCAGTGAGTGACAGAGAGCAATTTTCTCAAATTTGCTGAAAACGTGAAGTCACAGACAGACAGATGGACAGACATGACGAGCACAATAGCGCCTTTTTTACATAAATGAGAAGATGCGGCAAAAAATACTTTCTTTGCATGACAATATTAGAAACTTCTAACAATTTACTAGATTATTATGGCTTCAAAGTTGCCAAATTCAAAGAAATACAAAATTTAAGGGTGAATCAGTCAATTTCTTTAACTAGCACATTGGCTTTTTGTTACCTACTCAGTCTCCTCAATAATCATTGCAATTTTAGAATATCACTGCAACAAATCCTGTCATTCAGATTACCCTGAATCCAGTTAATATCAATAAGCTAATGACATGTTTTAGCCCCAAATTTGAATCTTGTTCGAAAAATTTCTGCATCTATTAAATTAGAATTTATTTACCAATTACCAATTACATAATATGCTTCAAATTTTGATCCAATCCTGTCCTCATATTTCAGCCATGACCTACCTTTTCTGCCACTAAGAAAAATCTTCAGTCTAGCTCATATTTTGACACAATAATTATTGTGGATAAATGCTCAAACAACCCCTACATGGGACATTGTTGGTGCACACAACTTCTGTGTAGGGGCTCTCAAACACAATTGTGCACAAGTAATTTTTATGAATACAGGGTGAAGCAGAACCAATTGAGCAGTTTTGAGGATAAAAGAGTAATGGAGGTACATAAAGAAGAAAGTTTATTTTCCACAAGGAACGACTCCAACACTGTTGGAGTCGTTCTTGGTTTTATTCCACTTGAAATAAAACTTGATTTTAAAACATTTGAAGAATACAGAGGTCAGAGGGTACTCATCTATTACAGTGTACTCATCAGTACACCAAAGTCCTCTCCCTTTGTAGATGATGTAGATGTAGAATAAATGACATTTTCTATGATTTTTACTTGTTTTTCCTTTATTGGCATGATATTACCATATCCACACATTACCATATTATTGATGTGATATTGCTGTATCCATGTAGGGTACCGTAAAATGGGGTAACTTTGACCACTTTTTTTCAAAATGATGCAATTTTTTTACATACTAGATAAGTTAAATTTAAATTGAAACATGCAAAATACAGGCCTATACTCTAGCTTTACTCACCATAAATTGCTGGCTCCTGCCTCTCATAGTTTTGATGTAATTTCAAAAAAAGTGATGGTCTTTGTTACCCCAGCTTTTGGGGTTTCTTTGACCGGGTTAAAATCAATTTTATTTATTGGTAAAATAACTCCAGGTTGTGGTGCATTGTAGTAGAACTCTTCTAGTTACATATGCAAAAGACAAATTTTAGGAGTGTCATAGTTTGCAAATGGGGGCGCTGCCCCCCAATGGGGGAACTTTGACCACCTAATGGCAGCCGTGACAGGGTAACATTGACCGGTTTGGAAATTAAGCTAAAATTACCATATATGACTCTGTAGTCTGAAACATAAAGAAAAAAACATTAATAGATGTATCAAACATAAAATATGTTATATTGGTACCTATGCAGGGTGCGTACCGATATTGAGAAGAAAAATTCCAGGACTTTTCCAGGACTCTCCATGATCATCAGTATAATTTTCCAGGACTCTTATACGACAGGTTTAGCATGACTGAAAGAGTAACCGTGCATATTCTATCATCTTCTAAAGTTGATAACTAGCAAACGTGTAAATGCATAGAGCGGGCAGACACAGACACTGATGCGTGCTGACTTTTGCGACGGACTATTCCCTGATACACTTTTGGAGTAAGAAACTGCAGTTGCATTGCTGTCAGCGAACCACAAATCGGAAACGCGTAACTGCACTCTGCTTTTCACTTCACTGTGTTGCTTAGCTAACTTGGTGTGTTTGCTGCCTTCGGCATGGCTTTTCAAAGCTGCTTCCCCCATATTTGACACATCGAAGTCTTTCGAGCACAATGTACATATTGCCATACCTTCATGCTTGGGATGGCGAGCAAGCCAGTCACGATAAGCTTCTATTTTTAACCACAAGTCATGAAATTTACACTTTCCACGCATGGCGATGTGGAAATTGCACGATCAAGATGTAAGGCTGCCACTGCGCATCAAAAAGTTTCGAATGCAACTGAGCTCGGTGACCAAGCTCACGTGATTGGTTCTCCAATCGCATGACCGACGGTCACGTGATTGGAGAACCAATCAGAACGCAGGAAACAAAGAGACTATGGCACAGTCTCTCATTTCATGCGTGCCAATCAGAACGCAGGAAACAAGAGACTGCAGAAACAGTTTTACGCTAATCGCGTAAGGTTAGCGGGAAAATGCCCTTAGTTTCTAATAACCACCGTAAAAAATAAACACGAATCTCACAGCCTTGTCTGTCGAGATACTCTTAGCTGATATCTATTCTTGGTGTTGGATCAATAATATTTTACCTGGAACTTCAGGGAGGTACTCGAGCTTTCCGCTCCGCTAATGCGTTTCATATGCAGTTCTTTCAATGGCGGGCAACGAAGTCACAGACAATGAGATAAAAAAACTATAGGAACAAAGAAACCTAGATAGAAACTAGCGGTGAGGATGCAGGTGCACCAGTGCCGAAGCTGCACATGCACCAGCGATATCTCAGGCACACGCACATGTGAATGACTTAGTCTCCTCCCCATGGGTAACATAGACACAAGTTCGAGCGGTCGGAGTTGTCGTATACGGAGATGGCTCTGCTTGAGGCCAGAAATTCGGTCCTTTCATTCTCATAATTTTCAAAAATGGATTCGAGTTCACAATTGTGCGTTTGACGACTGCATTTGATATGAAACAATCTATATTAATGCCTGGTAAAATAATCGCAGCGCATGTAAAATAGAAGACACCTAAAAATACTTAACAAAATTAAGGGCACCCAAAATCATTTGCACCCGAGGTTGTAGCGTGACACGACAACCTGTGGTGATTAGGGTTAACACACGCAGCACAGAAAAATACTTCATTTTTTTATTCATTTGCAAATTCCAGTATTTTCCATAATCTGAAATGAAATTCCAGTACTTTCCAGGCCTGGAAAATTAAAAATCAAATTTCAGGACTTTCCAGATTTTCCAGGATCGGTACGCACCCTGCTATGGTAATTTTAACTTAATTTCCAAGCCGGTCAATGTTACCCCGTCACGGCTGCCATTAGGTGGTCAAAGTTCCCCCATTGGGGGGCGGCGCCCCCCATTTGCAAACTATGTCACTTTCCTAAAATTTGTCTTTTGCATATGTAACTAGCAGAGTTCTACTACAATACATCAAAACCTGGAGTTATTTTACCAAAAAATAAAAAAAATTGGAGGGGGTACTCCAACAGGCTTTAAATAATAGCTCTTTTTTGTGGGTCACATTATTAATTTTTTAACCTATTAGATATGCAAACTTTTTAAGTCTTTCTATTGTGTTATGTAGCCTCAGTATTGGGCCTTTGATGGCCATTGACAAAATTTTCTTATGTCAACTCATTTTTGAGTTGTGGGGGTTTTTGTTGAAAAAACAAAAAGTGGTCAAAGTTACCCCGCCAGTCAAAGTAACCCCATTTTACGGTACATGCCATTGAGCATTGACTACAACCTTGTCCACTGCAAGCTTCAGATCAGCAAGCATACTATAGCAATTCTTGAGAATTTGTAAGCTTACAGGACTGGGCTTGTATTTTTGCACCATTATAATTGGGTCAACTGAATTCACTATATATATTCAACACACTTCTACCTGCCCGTTCGATCTGAAATTTTCCACACATGCGTAAAGTCAGAGTCAAAGCATGAATAAATTTACAGAATAAATCATTTTGAAAAATTAAATTTTATTATTTTAGAAATGAAATTTGAAAATTAATTTTTGTAATATTCATCATAAAATTAGAAATTCATCGTACGTGTGCAACATTGGAGACACTGGATTTTTTTAGAAGTGTTGTCTCTAAAAAGTAATTTTTAAATGCATATTATTTTAAACTATCATTTCTAAGTTTTCTATGAGCCAATTTCAAACATTTCCTTAGTATCCTTAGTATTTGTTTGGGACATAGCAGTAAAAGGCCACGATGAATCGCCACCTCTGGTTATTGTTCATCCGCCCTCATTTGGGCCACCTGATGCACGATGCTGTTGCTTGCTTCTCGCCACTGGTAGTGTTGCAGGGGAGGTCGATCTGGGATTGTGTCCAGGAACACGTCTAGTTGCCTCTTGAAGGTCTCCAGGGTGAACTCCCCCT